CAGAGGGCTTTTCCAACCAAGCCATTCTGTGCCTGTGTGTGTGTGTCTGTGTCTGTGTGTCCGTGTCCGTGTGTGTGTCTCTTCCCACCTTAATGATTCTGTGATTTTTAGGAAAATCAATTAAGAGCGGGGAGGACCCGCAGGGCTGGGTCTCATTGTTGTTCTCCACTTTCCCTTGCAGGTGATCCGAGGGAACAGCATCATCATGCTGGAAGCCTTGGAACGGGTATAGCGCCCCGAAAGCCTGCGTCGTCACCGGCCCCGACGAGTCCTCACCCGCTTTGTTACTCCAAGAAGCAACCCCGAGTGTAAACTTATTGTTTTCAGTTTTGTTTAATAAATTTGTAATGGTTGACATTAACTTTGCTTTTATTTTGATCAATGGGGCAGCTGAGAAGAACAAATTAATTAATTAGTTAATTTGTAGCTTTCAAACTCTGGGGAGGCTTTTGGAGGCTGAATTTATTGAGGTGGTGGTAAACTGGGGTTACTTTTGATGGTTTTTCCTCTTAATATCTCATAAAGAATGAGCTATGGAGCTGTGTTGTGTTTGTTCCCTGCGTTATTTGGTCTTAATTGGCAGGAAAATGGTAAAATTCCCCTCGGCAAAGAGTGACGTGGGACATTTGTGCCTGAAAGTGGGATTATTTTTGTTAAAAATTATCATTTTAATTCTTATTTCTGCCTCACGGGGTTGTGGTGCAGGAACCACCACCTCTGGGGGTTGAACTGGGCTGAAGAATCCTTTGGATCTTTGTTTTAAACGGGTGGAAATTGGTCTTTTTGGTTTGCTTTTCCGGCAGGGATGGTCTCTTTTTTTGATCCTTTTTAATACAAAAAGCTGCCACACGCTTTCTCAAGCACCACTAAAGATCCCAAACCCAGTGGTTCTGTGAGGAAAACACCACCTATAAGCACAGTAACGCCTTTTTTATAGCTTTTATTGCTGCCGTGTCCAGCGAGGACGCAGCTGGACCTTGAGATCCATCGGATGGTTGAGCTGCAGCACGGCAGCCGTACGCTATCACAAGGCACCAGCAGCAGCTTCCACTCCAAACAGTGCATTAATTTTATTATTAAACTCTAACTTTTTAACACTCAGACACAGTGGAGGCACGGCAGCGATATCGGATGCCGTCAAGGGACACAACACTCAAGGGGTTTTTCACCTTTGTGCCCCGCTGCAGGGTCAATTCATCTAAATTATTACCACTTTCAAACCATGGCAAAGCGAAGGACGTTGTGGGTTTGCTTCCTCAGCCCCCGTTTTGGCAACTCCCAGCAGCCCAGCCCCGCCACCCCTAAGCTTTTCTGGAAGCAAATTAAGGACGCAGCCTCAATATCCCCCCACCCCAAGGAACAAATACTTGAGAGACCCTCCAGAAAACAGCCGAGGCGGAGACGTCCACAGTCAAAAAGGGGATTTTTTTTTCCCCTGCCTGAAACATCTGGAGAGGAAAAGCAACGCATGCGGGCTCATCACAGCGATGCGGATCCTGAGTTTGGCAGACTCCTGCCCGCGGGGGGCACTTCTGGGGTCAACGTGGCATTTTTAACAACTTCTTTAATCTCACGGCGGGATAAATCGAGGAGTTTAGGCTGGGAAGGGCTGTCCTGCTTGGCAAAGCCTTTTCACTGCTGAGTTGGTCGCGTGTCTCCTCCGAGGGGCTAAGCAATGCTCCTTTGTTAGCGTTAATTGTGGCTAATCACCGCCACGACTCGATCCTGTTGGATTTTGGGGGGGCTCAGAGCTCCGTTTTCAGCTTCTCGTGCAGATCCTCCTGGTCCACCTTATCGGCGTTGCCGTACCAGCGGTGGTAGGCGAGCAGGGCGGCGTTTTTGGCGGCGATGGCGTTCATCTCCATGGCGCTGGCGGCGCGCTCGATGCCGCTCAGGTAATAGACGTGGTCGTGGAGGACGACGGGGGGACACTTTTCGGGGGTGCTGTACTCGGGGTACGCCAACCACTTCCTCATTTTGACCGAGTCGTAGGAGGAGAAAAGCAAATTGAGCTGCTCCTTGGTGAGCACCTCGTTGGAGAAGATTTTCCAGACGGCCGATTGCACGGGCGCTTTTCCTTCCCCGCTTGCCTTGTCCACCGGAGACACCGCAGCCAGGCTGTTGAAGAAGAGTTTGGGATTCTCCGTGGTGTAAACGTCGCCGAGATGAAAGGAGGAGGGGTCCCGGTAACCGAAAAAGGAGGCGTTCAGTCGCCCGTGCACGAAGGTGGTGACGGTCTGGTGGTACGGGTTGGGGAGCTCGGGGACGGGAGGGTCGAAGTTCCTGAAGGTGATGTTGGCCATTTTTCGGCTCAGCGGGGTGGCGATGAGGACGATGTCGTACGTGTCCCCCGTCAGCCCCGAGGCGGTGTCGTACGTGACGTGGTAGAGCTTCACCGGGTCCCCTGCGGAGGAGAGGGGAGAAGAGCTGGGTTATCCCACTCTGGATCCCGTTTGTCCCTCTGACAAACATCAAGCCTGTACAATTAGCCCGTTTGGGGCTAATTATGCCTTGTTGCAATCTGAAATAGCTTTACAAACCAGTCCCAGCTTAGCTGAGATAGCGCTGTGCGCTGAGGCTGCGTGCAGAGCCCAGTTGTTATATTAAAAGCCCAATGAAATCCCGATTTGTTGCTTGGCTCTGCCCAGAGCTGCAGCCGAGGTCGGTGTCCAGCTGCCAGAGCGAGCTGTTCCCCTTCCCACCACGGCAAACCCCACTCACCCGTGGGCCTGGGTCTGATTTTCGGCTCTATCGACACAACGGTACCGGGAATAACTTCAGCTTTGGAGGCGTAGATCAGGCCAGAGCAGACGAGTTTGTTCCCTCCTTTCACCGACCAAAGGCCCGATTCCACCCCTGCCAGAGAAACAGCACCTACGAGGAAACCACGAGCATTAAACCAGCTTGTTGGGTATTGTTCTGGAGGGGATTATTTGAAACAAAGTGGAAAATTAGGGGAAAAAACCCCATCCTTTTGGGCCACAGAGCTCCACCGTCTCTACTCCTTTACCATGAGGGGGTGAAGCTACAAAACGCTCACCTACAAAACCGTTGATGTTGACGCCTTGCCCGTAATTAACTCTCATGACCGGACAAACCACCTCGTTGATGAACTTGTGGGAGAAGCCGGCTTTCTGCATGGCCTCGTCGATGGTTTGGTTCAGCATGCGGGTGAAGTCGTCCCCTCCCAGGGCGTGGAGCAGGCGCTCGTTGCTGCTGAAGGCGTAGTCGTGCGTCTGGTAGCGATAGATCCTTGGAGGGGAGACAAGAAATGGCTTTGCAGGCGCTGTTAGTTATCATGCTGGCCCTCAAAAGGTGTGGAGGATCTCACAGCACAGCTCCCGAGAGCTTCACGGGACCAGCAGGGCTTGTCCTCCCTGCCAAGCCTTTGCCTGAGGAGGCTCAGACCCTCATTAATAGTTTGCTATTAATTACGTAAGTGCATAATTACACAGTTAATTCTCTTTAGCACTAAGCAGCCAGATCAGTGGGGCAACCCACATCTAACCTGGGTTTCCACTGCAGCCTCTTGTTATTGCTAGACCTGTTTGAAGATCACTTTTCCTTTAAAAAACAGAGAGGAGGCAACCAGGAGTCCCTTCTCGATGGCAATCACAGAGTCACAGAATGGCTCGGTTGGAAAAGCCCTCTGAGATCATCACGTCCAACCGTTCCTGTCTACCCCCTAAACCATATCCTTAAGTACCTCGTCTACCCGCTCCTTAAACACATCCAGGGATGGTGACTCCACCACCTCCCTGGGCAGCCTGGTCCAGCTTCTGACGACCCTCTCAGGAAAGAACTTCCTCCTTATCTCTAACCTGAACCTCCCTTGGCACAGCTTGGTGCCGTTTCCCCTTGTTCTCTCCCCCATCACCTGGGAGAAGAGCCCAGCACCCACCTCTCCACAACCTCCCTTGAGGCAGTTGGAGGTGGTGATGAGGTCTCCCCTCAGCCTTCTCTTCTCCAGGCTAAACAAGCCCAGTTCCCTCAGCCGCTCCTCATCAGGCTTGTTCTCCAGAGCCCTCCCCATCCTTGTGGCTCTGCTCTGAACACGCTCCACAATCTCAACATCCTTCTTCTAGTGAGGGGCCCACAACTGAACACAGCACTCGAGGTGCGGCCTCACCAGTGCCCAGTCCAGGGGGATGATCACCTCCCTGGCCCTGCTGGTCACACTGTTTTGAATACAATGGGATGATTTTACCCATTTTTCCAACTCGGCAGCAGGTTTTGTGCCTTTTCCCGCAGCCCTTTTCCCACCCGGGGCCTGACATACCGCATGAATTTGTCGAGGATGTCCTCCACCCACATGTACATGCGCAGGGGGTTGAGCCCGTAGTGCCAGAGGAGCTTGAGGAGGTTGAGGAGGTACCAGCTGCTCTCCTCGAACACGAACTCGTCCCCGTTATACACGCCCGCGAGGTTGTCCTGCACCGAGGCAACCGAGAGGCCTCCAGGAACGGGGTGAGAAAAAGGTAATTTAATGAAAGGCAGAGCTTGTGTTGAGCTAAACTGTGATTTTTAACTTCCTGAGATGCCCCAGATGTGCTTTGATAAGGGTGAGAAATGAAAGATTGACTCCCTAAGAGTTGGAAAGGGGAATGAGTCCTTGACCAGGAGCCAGGCGGTTATTTGTGGTGACTTTTGGACCTCTAGGACGGGATTATTGCAACACTTATAGGGGAAAGGGGGTCACCATTTCCACTGGGGATTTGGGTTTCCTTTTCCTGGGGGGCTGGAGTGCCACAAGGGGGATAGTGGGGGGATATGGGGGATACTGGGGAAGGACAGGGATGGGATATTGGGGAA